GGGAACACGGCCACGCAGCCCGGAAGACCCACACCAGCCATCGTATGCCGGCCCTGAAAGCCTTCGACAATACATTGTAGATCATCTTGCCCTATAAAAGTGAATATCCTTATCTCTAGATGTCTTTTGCAGATTTATGAAGATATTTCTATTATGGCATGCATTTGTCTTTGGTTTCTGTCTATATATTCTCACAGTAAAAGATTTTTAACCAAATGATTAATTTTGGATTGTATTGTGGTATAAAGTTTTTGTGAGCTTCTAGAGTAAATCCCCACCACCACTCCTTAATTTCTGCCTCTGAATGTCAAAGATACCTTCTTCAGGAAGTGGATATTCCGCCATTTTTCCTCGGTGAAGTTGTATCTCTGGCCAAGCAGTGAGATAATATAAACACCTGAGAAACAGTACTCACTCAAGTACTTTTCTTTTACCTTAGGAAATTCGACTTTCACCTAGACAGAGAAAAAGGAAACAAGTTTATTTCTTTGGCTTTCCCTCCTCCTTTCTACAGACTAAGGCATTCCATCTTCCAGATAAACAACATTAATCCTTGGAGCAATTACAATCCATCTGTGTGTTTTCAAATGGACATCTTTTTCACATGCCAAGAGGACACTACATTTGTAGGGTAAGTGGGATTTAGCAATTTCTCTTCCTCGACTTGTTTTTTGAGTTGGAGGACTAAGCAGAACCAATCTCACACAATTAACACTAATTGGAAGCCACTCGCTCTGAGTCAAGATCCATGCTCCTTTTGTTTGAGAAAATGACATACCTCATTCCAGGATTTGGAGCAAAAGCTCTTCACTGTCTGTATCACTTGGTCCATAGGTTTTTGGGTAGCATTCAGAAAATTCATTACATAATAGAAAGCAGAAAATGCCTAAAGATCAAGCAATATGAAGTTATTCAGGAAAGAATCCTTAAAAGAGAAACCAGTGCTTTTTCCTTGTTGTATTTTGTAAACCTCCCAGAGTCATAACAAATTGGGGTGCCCTATACATTTCACAAAGAAATAAATGAATATAAATAAAATATTGCTATCAGCAATCTTTAGCATAAAGAAGGTAAAGTTTTCTGAACAAATACAGAGATATTATTCAAACTACTTATTCATCTCGCCCACAATTGTCTGTTCTCAATGGTTTGATTCAAATAGCACACTAATGTTAAACCTGGGTGAACAAAACAGTTGCTGCATTCACACAGTACGTTATGTCCAAACAAATAAACCATATTATGATATATGAGGACCTGGTTTGCACAGGATGCAGGGTGCTGGACCACAAACTATCCAACCCTATTTTAGTCTCTTAAGAATGTTGTGCAAACTCAGCCAATCATTCTGATTGACACTAGTTCTCCAGGGACTTGAGCAGAAGTCTTCAGCATCACCTGCTGCCTGTCTTTTGTACCCAAGCTGACAGAGAGTGAATGTGAGACTTTCTACCTGCAAAGTGGTAAGGACTCTACCACCGAGCTATGCTTCTTCTGTTCTGTTCTTCTGAGCTCCAATTCAATACTATATGCAAGAAGAACAGCAACCCAATGGGTGCTCCTAGTAATTCATACCAACAGGTATTTTCTCTTAGTGCCTAGATCATTCCATATAGCAAAATTATGCCCTGATTTTGTTGAACTGCACTACTGAAATTAGTATTTACTGACAGATCACTAGAACATTTATACTTCGTATGATAAATGTTGTAATTCACATTCTAGTGGAGGAAAAGGTTTTTTAAAATGGTGTAGTAACAAACTGTTTGCCTTACCATTTTTGATAGCAGAGGCATTATACTGTATAGGTAATCCCCAGTTTAAGAACTAGTTCCATTCCCAAGGACTGTCCTTAAGTCAAATTTCTATGTAAGGCAGAACAGTATTATTGCATAATATTATAAACAGTATTGTGTAATGAACTTGAATAATTGTGTATTTAACTCAAATCAAATTTTGCTACAATAGGCTCCATTCTTAACTATGGGTCATCTGTAAACTGGACTACTTATATGTATCTCATAAAATAATCATATTGATGTGCTCTGTGGGAGAACTCATATTTCTCCAGCAATAAAATATGAGAAGTGTTAGATTTTGGACATAGAAATATACTTGTAGTACCCTGAATTAGTGCTTCCATCAGGCTACCAAGCCTCCATTTTGTTGGCTTCCTTGTTTTAAGATTTAATTTATCATTAAAATCTAATCCCAAAGTGGAAGTGTTATTATATGTTCCCATATGGATTTGCATTGGAAATATATTTTTTGTTTTCCCTGTCAAATTAGACACCTTGCAGTATTAATCAATTACCATTCATTCATATATGCAATTTTAAATAGATCATGTCCAATTTTAAACCATGCTGGTTATGATATACAGTAATGGCCTCAATGTCAAATAGTCTATCTCTATAAAAATATACTACTTTATTTGTTTTTTCCTCTATAGCCTGCATATCTTAGGGAATCTATCATGTTGATGTTGAAAGAGGGCAGCAAGTTATTCTTTCTAGGAAAAAAATATTCATATCTCTATTAGTATTGCGCTAACTTTTTCAAATTACACTAGCATAAATATCTGATGTTCTTCATTTTAAAAATAAACACACTTACCACTTTGTTTCCAAACAGAAATCACTTGTTAACAAATAAGAAAATGATGGGCAGAGCAGCTACGTCCAGGGTGGAAGGGAGCAGAGTGATGAATCATCTGCCACTTCCAAAGCTCTGCTGGCTCATGCTGAACAGGGCAAAAGGTGAGAAAGTGACTCTACCAAAGTTTCAGCATTTTATGTTTAGGAACTGAACCAAATATGCCATTTCTATGGACTCTCAAGGGAATCCCCCCTGGGGTTGGAGTTTCTTGTCAGTGGAAATATTACAGCATTGCATCTACAACTGCCAGGCTCTGCACAGTGTCAGTTTGTGGCAATGTAGTCATTAAAATGGTGCCTTTGTAAGAATGTATCTCCTACCTTAACACTGATCTGGAAAGAGGGTTGGGAGTTTTGCTTTGTGACATTTCCCTTAAATCAGTGTTTCTCAATGTTGGCAACTTGAAGATGTGTGGACTTCAACTCCCAGAATCCCCCAGCCAGTCTGGGAGTTGAAGTCCACACATCTTCAAGTTGCTAAGGTTGAGAAACAGTGTCTTAAATGAACAGGCAACTATTTAGACTAAACACATGGTTGTATCTGGGGAATGTCAAGCAGGAGTAAATAACAACATCCATGTAATGCTGCCATCACACAAATGCCACAATTTACAAACTCACACCAGACTCTGTGATGGCAGTATGTAATCATCATGTAATCATCATGCACATGTTATCATTTTGACATTGTCAGAGTTTGTTATAGATGCCACTGAGTTCAGTGATTTGTTTAGACTGAATCATCAGTGCTTCTATTCTTGCAGTTCCAACCTGATTGAAGGCTGCTGCTGAAGATAATAGGGTTAATTCTTTTACAATAAGAAATAGTATCACAGAAATCCTTTTGTCCATTGCCAAGCTATCAATTTCTTAAACAGACTCACCACAAATTCTCCAGACACCTCAGGCAAGAAGGTACGATTGAATGTACAGCTGGAGTAAAAACAGTCTGGAGTATTAAAGATTCTCTGGATGCTTGCTAAGCATTTTTCATAATTCCCATCACCTTGGATTTGCATCTGAGAGTGTGATACAGTGATCCTACATGCTGTGCAGGGATTTGTGGTCAGGTCAAAAACATTAAGTGTCCTCGTGTAACCTTGGTGGAAACATGGATCCTGGAGTCTGTCAGTTTTCGAAGACTAAAAAAAGTTTACAAATTCATCAGCAATGGCATGAGTCCCAATACATTCACATATCACATTATAGCATAAAACTTGGCTTACAATCCACAATGGTTGGATTTTAAAAAATCACACAAAGTCAAAACCAAATAAACCAGATTATATAGATGCAATATTATGGGTGACTCCAGTCACAGATCTGGACTGGGGCAGAGTGAGGCCTAGGTCAGAAAAGAAATGCCTGCGTTGAATCTACATTTTTATATAAGTATTCTAATTGAAAAATAAACTTAACAAAATACAGAATGATGAAAAGAAGGAAATACTTTAGGAACAAAAATTAACAATCCTATATGTATATATTCTCACATGCAGTGCTCCTACAAATGTATATTTATAGTGAAGAAGGTGGCCCTCAAGATCTAACATGGTATAATATTAGACTAAGATGAAGGCCTAAACTCTTAATCTAAGAATAAGCATAATAAAAACAAAGTTCTTCTTTGCCTTTTTCTTTACATTCAAATTACTACTGGAACTGAGCCCTGTAATAAAAACCAAAGGGGCAGAAAATATGTTCTATTAATTTTGGCTGAGTCCTCAGAATCTTGATTCTATAGCAGTGTTGTCCAAACTTGGCCACTTTAAGATGAGCATACTCTAACTCCCAGAATTCTGGCTGGCTGGTGAATTCTGGTAATTGAA